AAAGGCTGATGAACAGCCAGCCAATGCCAGGAGTACCAAATTAATGCATTAAAGGCCATGCTGGACAGGCCTGCAGGTCTCACTCAGAGCCAAATGTTCAATGAATAGTTCAAGTAAATGCTGTCTTAGTTTTCTAAGTTCACCTAGTTATTAAAGTAAATCAGAGGTGCCAGCATTGAGGAGGCAGAGGCTGTTAGAAATATGGAATCTAAAAGCAGCAAAAAGAGAGTTTGAAAGCAAGTAAAGAGGAAGAACTACAATGCACAGACACTAAAACAAGGGTTCTGGGTCATTTAATGCTTAGGGGCATTGTCCCTAAAACATCTCTATTCCAAGTCAGGCATCCCTGTAACCTGAATGAGGTCACAAAGAAGGCTCAGAATCATCTGTGCTGTCCAATATGGTAGATACTATTTTAGTTATAATTAAATAAAATTAAAAATATAATTTCTCAGTCACACTAACTGCATTGCAAATGTTCAATAGCTAATGTGGCTAGTGACTACTATCCTGGACGGTGCAGATACAGAACCTTTCCATCACTGTAGGAAGTTCTATTGGACAGCGCTGGTCTAGAGGAATTTGAATTGTTTGTAGTCCTGTTCAAGGAGGCAGAGGATTATATCCGTAGGTCCTGGAACCTCATAATTGGAAGGGACCCTGAAGACCATCTGGAATCCCCATCACCATGATGCATGCTGAGTGCCCTAAAAATGTGTCTTTGAGGAAAGTTTCTGGGAAAAATGGTTAAAATATACTATATTTTGGCCTTTGGTAGGTTATCTGGAAAATTCATTCTGTAAAGGATTAATTAATTTCAAATATAACTATTATCTACTAAGTAACAGGTGCTATGCTATGCTCTGGGATATAGGATTATAATAATAATAACTAGTACTTATTTAGCTCTTACTAAGGACGATGCACTGTTCTGAGTACTCTTATACATACAAAATTCATTTAACCATCATAACCACCCTATGAGGTAGGTAACACAGTCATCTCCATTTTCTAGATGAGAAAGTCTAGACATAGGGAGGTTAAATAACTTGGTCAAGGTCATACAGCTAATAAGTGGTGGTGCTGAACTTCAAACCAGGCCAATTCACTCCAGAGTCTGACACGTAGCCACTGCACTATACTGCCATAAATAACAATGCTTACTTGAGCCCCCAGTTCTGTCCATTTATAATCAATCCCATGCATTGGCAATCTTGTCCTCTTTTTGCAAATGAGGCTCAGAGACAGAAGAGAGATAAGATTTGCCTATTTCCCACACTGCTTCCTATTGGTTAGTGCTCTGCCTGGCCCTGTCAGTCAGGAGCAAGGGCCTCCCCTTACCTGGCAGGTGTCCCTGCGACCCTCTGGGTAGCCAGCACACAACATCCCTGGCAATAGCTGAAAAGTGAGGTTGAAGGGGCCGGGCCGGCTGTAGAGACACTGACAGGCGGCCTCTCCCAACAGCCTTAGCTCCACTTCTTGCAGCACCCAGGGGAGAGGCAAGGGGTCTGTAGGCAGAACCAGAGAGCAAATGCTTTGAGGCAGATATAGAGCCCCCTGTTCCCCAGGGCTCAGCTTTATCACTTTCAGCTGCCTCCTGGACATCTCTATCTAGATGCCCCATGACACTTTAGGCCACCACATCCAAAAACAATCATCTTCTCCTGCTCCTCTCTGTCCTTCCTGTATCCTCATCTCAGCAATGGCCCCATCAAGCACCCAGTGAGAGCTGCCATGGATGGTTGTGTACTGCACAAAGGTACCCAGCCAACAAAGGACACATGTGAGGGCTAAAATCACTAAGCTCTGAGCCTTGACATAGGCTGTGTTGGTCCTGGGAGAACACTCTTTTCAAAAAAGATGCCATATGTACTAGATGCAGTCCTATACCAAGTTGCCAAGCGTGGAATCTGGGTGTCACCTGTGACCCTGGTCTCAACTTCTCTCAAGTGAGTTTCCAAGGGATTTTTGCTTGTTATGTTCATTGACTATCTCTAATGCCTAACACAGTGACTGGCACAAGGAGGTGCTAAAAATATCTGTTGAATGAATGAAAGACAGACTGAATGAGGGTGAAGAGGTGATTAGGGATAAGACAGGAAGTGGGGAGTAGAAAGATGAATGGGGAGAAGATAGGATGGGAGGAAGGAGGATGGGAGGAAAGGCGGGCAGAAACTGACATTTGCTGAGAGCGTACTATACATACACCAGATGCTGTGCATTGGTGTTGGGATCGCCTAGGGTAAAAATATCTAAAATGCATTAATTACTGCTATGCTAGTCACTGTGTTATAGACTTTACGAGGATTTTCTTATTGAAGCCACGCAACAACCCCATGAAAGTGGGCACTATTTTCCTCAGTTTTCAGGGGGAGGAAGTCCACCTCACTCACCTTTTTCTTGTACGTCCCCCCAGCCCGTGGCCCAGCAGGTGGTGCCGTAAGCAAAGCGGTGCGAGGCCCTGGGCAGGCAGACTGGCCTCACGGCTGGACCCAGACTGGCAGGCGAGGCAAGGCGCAGGAGGGCCAAGTCGGCGCCCAGTTCCGCACTGCTGTAGTTGTCTGGCACCAGGATGGCCGCCACTGCGCGGACTTGCACGCCGTCCAGGGTCCCATCCTGGGAATGCACGCCCAGCAGTACAGACCACTCGGCCGCGGGCTCCAAGGTCCGGTTGCTGCACCAAGGCCGAGGAGGGCGGGGATTAGGTCGACAGGAGCGGGTAGACCTTTGTGGGGGTTAGGGGCTCAGAGTCTGGGAGAAGGTGGAGTCAATAGGAACCCAGGAGGGGAGGAGTCGGATCCACTTTTGGGGTTGGGGCGCTCGAGTTTGATATAGACTCCTAAAAGGGGAAAGAGAGGATCCAGTTTGAAAGCGGTCTATTGGAGACCTGGGAACGATGCAGTTCGGACTTGGGTATTTAGTGAAGTGGTGGGACCAGTTTGCTGGCAGCCTCAGCACACTCGGAAACAGAACATCCCGCAGAGCGCCTAACTTCGGGGAAGGGTGAGATGGTGGCGGTGGCTAGTCTCCAAGTTAGCCTTGAGTAAGCGGGGTCAAGGTGCCGGGCCGGCTCGGCTTTTAAAGGAGAGGGGCTGGACATGGGCGAATACTCACTTCACGAAACAGTGAGCTGCGGAGAGGACCCAGGAGGGGGCGATGAGGGAGCCTCCGCAGATGTGGCCTCCTCCGTGATGCAGGCTTACCTGCCACGGCCAGCTTCTCGGCCGTGCATCTGAGCCCCCCATGATTCGGTCAGAGGGCTCAGGGTGACCGCAGTCTGCAATGGGGTACCGTGGAGGTCATAGCCCGCCCCTGTCTCCCAGGACAGAGAACCAGGTAACTCAGGACAAAGCCCCATCCACCACCCCACTTCAGTTTGCCCCCCTGAACAAAGAACAAAGAGAATCTGGGCACTTGTAAGTTTCTGGTCATTTCTGCCTCTGTCATCACATAGCCAGCCTTAACCTCCTTTAAGATCTGAGCCCACCCCCACTCTTACCCCGACCCCCTTACCCAGATCTTCAAGTTCTTCTTGGGCAGGACTGAGTACTGAGAAAGGGTAAAGAGAAGAAGATACTGGTGACTTCCAGCCCCTGACACTACCCAGCCCTCATCTTTTTCTCCATCCTCCACCCCAAACCCGCCAGCACCCAATTCACTCCTATCTTTTCTGCCTCTGCACCTGACTCTCCCCAGTCGAGGTGCCTTACCTGAGTCCTCGAAGGCTCCTGGGATGGGGCTGATGGCTGGAAAGAAGGAGGCAGGAGGAGGCTGGAGACCTACACTTACAATGTGCCCTCCTTGACTCCCTCCCCTAGGCTTTACTGATACTCTATCTCTCCATGGCAGCCAGGTCTCCTTTCCCCTTCTTCTCATACACTATTCCTCTCCCTCTGACACATTACTCCCTCGTTTTTCTGATATCCCCCTCCCTTTTTTCTCCTCTGACACCGGACTTCCCACACAGAACCCAGGAGTCCTGCTTTCCATCTCCTCAGATGCTAGGACCCAGGTGCCTTCCAGCTCATCCCATCTCCTGAGGTTACCGAGTATCACAAGTGGGAGGAGCAGGTGCTGGAACATGGCACATTTGAGTCAGCTGGAGATACAGAAATGGGTTAAGGTCTGCTCTCTACCACAGCTCTGTCACTGTCTAGGCAGCCTGTGACTACAGATGGTTCTGAAGAGGCAGCCCCACCCTCCCTGGCCAGAGCCCATCTCTGGGAACCTGAGAGGATCTGGGGCTGGAAGGGTGAAGTAGGGAACCTGAAAGCCCATTCCAGAGCCCTGTTCCATCTCACATCTCTGGAGGCCCAGGGTAGGAGTGGAAGGCAGATGTCCTAATTCCAGGACACCTGTTGGGTGGGGGAGGGAGGAGTGAAGAACTCTGCGGGCAAAGACAGGAGATAGCCAGGGGCTGGGAGGTCAATGTTCTGTGTCCTTGGTGAGGCAGGGCTTCAGGTTAGCAGTGGCCCTTGGAACAGGGGAGGTGGCCCCTCATTGGCATGACTCACCTGAGACCTTACCTCTCTTTGAGGTGTGGCTACCCGGTGGCTTGGGCTTTTATTCTCACACAGCTCTGGTTACTGGAGTTGTTGGCCAGGTCAAGGAAGGGAGCTCTAGGAAATTCAATCCCATCTCAACAAAAGGATCACAGATTCCTGCAGGTTGGGCAGGGTGCAAGATTCTAGGAGGGGGATGGGCAGGCTGGGCAGGCTGGCAAGGCCAGAAAAAGATTCCACCCTTTTCTGCGTTAGAGTGAGTACTCTCAAGTGTTCTGTCACTTACTCTTTGTGTGGCCTTGGGAAAGCCACTCAGTCCCTCAGGGTATATCAATACAATCCCAATTAAGAAACATATGGCATCTCAAAGCAGAATTGAGGAAAGTTTAATGAAGGAACTATTCACAGAAAGTAGGCAGGGTTAAGGGCAACCAACAAGGGATGGTGAAGCACCCTAGGGCTGGCAATAATGGAGAGCCCTGCCTGAAGAGGCAAAGAGAGGGAGAAGTTACTGGAACCAAGAAAGAGAGAGCTGCAAATGTAGGTGAGGGCCAGCCAAGAAGAGTGCCTTCAATGGACTGAAACTTTTATCAATCTGTGGCGTGGCTGGGAGGGAGCTAGGAAATAAAAATCCCCATCTCACTCTCCTCCTACCCTCTGATCACCTTCCAGCTCCTCCCATCCTCTGAAACCTATCAGAAAGCAAAGAAGCCCATGATATGGCCCATAAAAGGCACTCCTGGGGAAACAGATCAGGATGTAGAAGGGTGGAGAGTGAAAATGGAGGGTGAGGAATAGAGTGAAAAAATAAAATGGAGTTACTGTGGTCAAGCCACTAAATTACTAACTTCAAGTGGTCTGAGGCAGAAATGTTGCAGAAATGTTGCAAAATCAGATCTATGAGAAACCAAGCATCACTAGGAGAGTTGGAGAACTTAGGTTTATTACTCTGGCAGTCCCAGATGAGCTAGTGCTCTGAAGATCCGGGCCCCAAGCTCAGATGCAACTTTGCTTTTATGGGGCTTAGTTGGCATGGGCCACTTGGTTAATTTGTCCTCAGATGGTTACAGACCGCAGGGGTTGCTATGGGTTACAGGAAGTTACAGAGCATGAGATTTTCAGACAGGAACTTAGGCAATACATCTGTTATCTAGACAGAGCAATCAAAGGAGAGAGTGAGTCTTCAGTTGATCTCGAGATCACTCTGCCCTTTGGCCTATGCAGCAAGCATGTCTACAGAAGCAGAACAAAGAGCTGATTATAAGGTTAGCCTTCTGGTGGAAAATTCCGCTTCATAAGGAAACAATTATTTTTGTTTTAACTGACTCTGGGAACTTAAGCTTTTGAACTTTCCAGTCCTGGGTCAATACCTGGATGCATATCAGTGCTTTTTGCATTAATGCCTGGACATACATTAAGCCTTCAGTTAATGATCTGAATGACCTCAAGAAGAAAATGTTCCATTGTCTAGGCCACTGGGTGTCTGATGAATAGTATCTTGGACCAATCCAGAGGTTAAAAATGCAGTACATTCTTCTCAAGAATGTACTTTTTACTATAAAACTCTCAGACTTTTCTTTCTCCTTTGGAAAACTCTGGGTATTGACTAGTAGTGTTTATGGTTTGCAAACCCTAAGACCCTTGAATAAATCTTTGCCATTTATAGCTAGCAAAGCCTCTTGACTCTTTTTGAGTACATTTGACAAGGGTCAAACAAAAAATATCTAAACACATATACCTATTTTTTTTAATCAATAATATAAGCTAATAATAATATTACTTTATTAGTCCAGTTTCCCTAGAAAGCAGAGGCCTAAGCAAAGCCTACATACTTGTGCTTTGCTAGGAGATACATTCTCAGAACAGCAAGAGAGAGGGGAAATGGGACATGATCTGGGAGGGCGGTAAACTTGGTGGTACTAGCTAACACAATCCTGGAGTTTCTAAGTCCCCTCAGGCACTCATTTATAGGCATTTGTCCCTCCAAGGAAAAAGAGCCAGTCTTTTATTCAACAAACACTCAGGAAAATGAGGCAACTGACATTGTTTAAAAACAGGAAAGGAGAGAAATTGTAGGGTGGCTAAAGCAAAATATGCATGCCATGAAGATCCTCACCTACAAACTGCTTGTTCTAATTCAGTAGTTCTCAAACATTTTGGTCTCAGGCCCTCTTTACACCTTAAAAATTATTGGAGTCCAAAAAGCTTTTGCTTATGTGGGTTATATTTATCAATATTTACTGTATTTGAAATTAAAACTGAAAAACAAACTATTTATTAATTCATTTTAAAATAGTAAATCTGTTACATGTTAATGAAAACCTACATATGATTCTCATATTTGCTTCTGCATCCAGTTTTTTGGGATATCATGCATCATGCAGCCTTTGAAAACCTACATTGAACACTTGGCATCATGAAAATAGTTTTAGCTTCGAGCGCCCCATGAAAGGGTCTTGGGGGCCCATCCAAGAGTTCAGAGACCATATTTGAGAATTGCTGCTCTAAGACAATAATGAAC